GCATGTTTATTGGTGAATAATAAATTATTCATTTAATTTTATATTTTATTATGTTTAATGTTGTCTTTATTTTCCCTCCAAAATTATTGGCGGTCATTTGTCCTATATGCATAGCTGTTTATTGTTGGCATTCAATTCATTTCACCATGGTGAATGTACTGAGGATAAAGGCTCTTGCACTATACAAGGATAGACATGAAACTGCTCTTTTCATGCTTTCAAATAAATAATATACAATTGCATACATTTTTTTTCTCAATAAATTTGTAAAATGCGGAATAATAACTGCATGCGAATACTAGGCTAGATGCTAATTAAGGCACGACAAGGATTTGCATACATTCAGCAAATTTGGCAAACAAAACACACCTGACAAACCGACAATCTCGCTAACTCTCTTCCAAGCCTAATTTTTCCTATTAAAGTCTCTGTATGATTCTAAAGAAGTATCATACAGAATGGGGTTTTCTGAGGCCGCGAGGATAAGCTTCTCTTCCCACGTTGCCGTGTACGATCATAATGAAATTTCCGTGCGACTGCCACTAGGGGGCGAATTCCGACAGTCGTAAGTTTTTCAGGTTAAGTAAGTTTTTATTCAGGTAAAAAATACTACAGAAATTAAACGCATCCAGTGTTATTTTACATTTGATTACTTTAATTTCTGTAGTCTTCATTGTAAAAATTAAATACAGATTAATGCTTACCATTAAAGTTATAAAACGTATTCAGTCAAGAGTGTGTGTGTGTGTGTGTGTGTGGAGGTTGGGTGGATAGCAGAATAAGCCCATGGGACAACCTGATTCCACATCCAGCAGACACACATGAAACTAGATTACTGGCTGAAAACTATCCCATTTTCTGTCAGAAATGGAGGTTGGTTTGGTATGTTTGCAAACAATATCATATAGTCCTTTGTGTCCTTAAAAGAAATATATTGTGGCAATTCCATGATACACTGACGGTATGAGTTGGTAATGTACCATGGTACTGTAGTTACATGGTATTCCAACATACTTCAAACATAATTATCATAATACATATCCCATACCATTTGCATGGTACAATGTAGAAAACAGCCATGGTAATATCACAGTACTTTTTGGTACTTTTTTGTTAATGTGGTTTGTGTGATTTTTTCCCCACAAACCAATTCAGTGCTAATCCCACCTTGCAGCAGATTCTAAAGATTTCATTGGTCATGTAAATCACAGTGCTGATTGCCTACACAACACTGAAAGAATTACTAACCCCTAACCCAAACCTAAACCCTAACCTAGTATTTTGATAGAGAGCATTACTGTTTGTCATTGAATCCATTACAGTTTAAACTGAATCTATAAAGTCTGAATTTTTCTCAATATGATTGAGTTGACAGATGAAATCGGCTGTAGGGTGGGGTTTGCATTGAACTGGTTTGGGGAGTGTGTGGTTCATGTTCGTTAGATAGTACTTTTTTGCCAGTGTTAGCCTTGGTTCCACTAATCTTTCTTACTCTAGTGCTTGAGTGTGTTTCCATTTGTGCTTCTTTCTTTTTTGGTTTGAATGTTTGGATGTAACTGTTTCCATATTTCCCCAGCAGATAGTCCCACCCCCTGGGATGCTCACACTACAGCCTCCCCAAGTCTGTCGGAAGTAGCACCACCCCTCGACAGCTTACCTAATCCATCAGCTTCTTCTCATATGAACCCACCCACCGACCCACCTCATACATCGTCCTTGGAAGCAGTAGGTCCAGACTGTTCCCAGGGTCCTAGAGGCCCAGAGGATAAGGCTTTAGAGCAGGCCAGTGTGGGGAAGAGGTCAGCCCTGGCAGGTGGAGTTGGGTGTGGGACCAAGCAGAGGGAGGGTAGCAGGACCAACCGTCGCTCTAGTGGAGGGAAGAGCCAGCAACAATACCTTGATGAGCTTGCGGGAGAGCCCAAATCCCACAAAAGCAGCCGGGCGAAGTCCAAGGAGCGCAGGAGGGAGCGGAGCAACACACCATCTCGAAAGCGAGACTCGCCTAAAACTTCTCCAGATGACACCAACATGAATGGGGGAAACGGATGCCTAGATGGTTGCAACAACCAACATGGAGCTCTGGTGCCATTCAAAGCCCTACCAAAGGAACCAGAGAAAGGGCAAATGAGTTGTCCCAGCCACAACTCCAAGACCAGCAGCAGTGCATCAGGCAGGAAGGCCACAGTATCCCCTGGGCCATGGAAGATCCCTGGTTCGGACAAGCTACCCAGTACCCTGTGCTCAGCCACCTCCACCATCAGCAGATAACATCTCATCAGAATCTCAGGCCCAAGTTTACACCTTACTTTTGGCCTTGACTTCTTGACATCTTTGGGACTGGTTGGGCTTGGGCTCTTCTTGATTGGTTTTCACAGGCTTGCTCTACTTGGAAGAGATTGGTTTTAACCATGACCAGGTACCACCCTTCCACAATCCTCACTAAAGACCTTTCCATGCATTTCTAGACAGAGCATTTTTTATTTATATTTTATTCTAAGTTATTTTAACAGATAGGACACCCACCACCTTAAGAACTGGAAGCATCCACTCCAAAAATGGAACCACGTTGGAATGAGTGAAGCATGTTGTGTGCAAAAAGAATCCCAGACTTGTTTAAACTTAGGGAAAAGCACTCAAGATTCAGAGATGTACATGCATAGAGAACCACTAACTCTTGAACCACCACTGGTGGCTACAGCAATTTTTATACGCTTTCATTAAAAAATGAAGAATACTGAAGGAGTTGCCTGATATATAGTTTTTGTGTATTTGAAGAATGAATATGATTAAAAAGATTCTATATGAGCGGACACTCGACTATGGAACTCTGCCTTAAAGACTGACCTGCAGATGTCTGTATAAGGGTCGGTAAAATGAATATAGAAATAGATATATTATATGACTGCATATATGTGAGACATATTGTAAATATGGTCTTTACACACCATTGTGAGCCCATACTGGAGTATTGATATCATACACAGTGTAAGAGTGTAATCTAGAATTCATTCCTACTCCACTTTAAGGTGCGTTCCCACTGACAGCGATATAAACTTGAGTGGTTGCTAATCGGTGTTACTACTCAACTTCAATATAGAACTCTAACAGGAAACAGATCACATGACCTTCACTGTCTACACTGACATTGGTAGTTGAAGCCTCAAGTTCAAGATCAACACCAACGGTCGATTGTGTCTCTTAAAATCGCAAACTCTCATTGATGATTTATGACTACCAGTTGCTGCAAATCGCTGTCAGTGTGAGTACCCAATTTCTGAAGGAGCCACTGAGCCTTATGACAGAGGTGTCCAATCCTGCAACTGAAGAGCCACTGTCCTGTAGAGCTTAGCTCCAGTACTAATTATACACACCTGAACCAGCTAATCAAAGTCTTGAGGATTGCTAGAAACGTCCAGGCAAGTGTGTTGGGGCAGGTTGGAGATAAACTCTGCAGTACATTGGCCCTCAAGGAGCAGGAGTAGACACCCCTGCCTTATGCAGACCACTTGATGCTTTATTTGAGCTCTAAATCCTAGGCAACGACATCAAGACAAAAAGAAACCGTAGGCTGCTATTAATTCATTGGACTACTTGTTCCGTAGATACTGTGCAACAGTAATGCCAGAACTGAATGAGTATGTCATCGCATCCCTCTCTCTCTGAATGCTGATTGGTGACTAGAGAGGCCGGTTTTTGTCCACAGTATAGAAATATCAATATAATATTCAAAGCTATTTTAATCACTTTCTTCTTTTTTTTTTTTCAACTGTTGAATCATAAAATCACTGACAACCAGAATCAGAATCCACCACTTGAAAATTGAGTTAGCATTTAAAGCAGCAGATGACATGACTGCATTGTTTGCTTATAATAAACAAAATGTTATTGTGCATTGATGTGGATGCTAACTTAGTTATCATTTTAGTTATCATTCGGGACTTATCACTTGATTCTTGCTCCATTGAGTTTAATGGACTGGGGAACATTGATGCGAGTCATGTGAAAGGGCCTTAATACTTGAGCTTAAAAAAGTAACCGTTTGAAATGTTAAGGTGTAATGGAACAAACTTTTCGGTTACATCTGGGCCTCAGTATACATTATTATTCTCTGTTTTCTTTCATAAATTACATTTTTTTATGAGTTACATTGCCATAAATGTCACTGAAATTAATAAATATACCATTTTAGAATCGCTTGAAGGTGAAATAGGTTGTTTCTGTGCAACTAGTTGCATCAAACAGAACTGCAATTCTGGGCTGACAAAACAACATGGTCTCAACCAATTGCATGATTTTGAGGGAGTGTCTTAATTGTTCATGATTTTTATACTGATTTTACAACCAATAGTGGCAAAGAAATTACACACTTCACTTTTTAAAAAATAACAAACGTGTTGAGACCCCAATGGTGCTATATTGTGTATTCTTCCTGCAATACTGTCAAAAATATTGTCCAGTTATTTACAACTTTTATAATTTAGTTCATTTTAATACCACTGTATATATATATCAATTGTCTTGTAGTTTCCGTGAAAAGGACCCCAGACAAGACCTCATCTGTTCTATCCATTTTCATAATATCGTCTCTATTATATTCATCTCCCACAGAAATAAAGCGATGACGGGTTACACTGACGCTCTTTGACAACTGTTGTAGATGACAAGGAGAGCTGACAATGATCTAGTCATTACAAGATAGTGCTAACATTTCCCTGATGAAGACAAATGAATTGAAGCACTCCAAAAATGAGTGTGCCTCTGTGGCTATTACATTCTGAGTGCTTCATCCTTCGAAATCCCAGACAGACAATGGCATTGTCAAAGCAAGTGTATTTTCCATAGAGTACCAGCAAAGATTGTGTGTGCATATGAATGAGTTGGATTACTACAAACACTATGATATCTCTCAATAGTGTTAGACAGGAAATTAACAATTTGATTAAAAGTACAAAATCAACTTTATGAATAAGGAACAAGTCATCTTAAGACCAGAAACATACTCTATGCAAGTGCACACATGTTTGGCTAGCGCATTGTAAGTGTGTACTGTGTACACTGTGTAACTGTGTACATCCTTAGCATCTATTTTTGCGCCACTATAGCGCTAACTCATAACTGTACTCAAGGGGGCGACAGAGGTACCTTCAAATGTCTTTACTGTTGCACAATATGCTGTAAAGGTGCACTCAAAACTGTTGTTTGGTTAATTTTTGTGAGTGAAATCCATTTATTTCAATAGAAATCGACGCAATCTGTATTTTGCGCGAGGGCGAAAAATGTCCCCACATAGATTTCGCAACAGGTTCAAGTTAGTCTGCTTGGTTGAAAGTGTCTTCTGTGTTAGCTGTACTTTATACATTACTACTAATGACAATTAACCTTTTTGTCTTTGAAAATGTGTTAGTGACTCTATTTTTATTCATTTAACTAGCTAATAACATTTTGAATAAACTTCGAACTTTAGCCTCATGACAAAAGTTGGCCCTTAAAAAGAAAACTGATGCTAAATTATGCAAATACCACATTAAGAATGCAATGTGTTGCATAATGAATTGCATTCTGACACATTTGCAATGCAACAACAAGAAAAAGGTGCTTAACTTGCGTAGTTAGCAGAATTTGCATTCATGCACTTGTTTAGGCTTTGTTTCTGGCCTTAGGGGGTTCTTTATCATTTTATAGAGTAACTGGTTTGTTTAAAGAGAGAATAGTGTCAGTGCATTCAAACTGCTTTTCCATTTATTTTGTCTTGAGTTTGCCAAATGCTAAAGAGACGTCACCGAAATGATTCAACCTGATAAATAATGTGATTTAAAATTAGATGATTTATCGGTAGAGCCATGGAGGCAACGCAATGCCCAAAAGAAGCTCTGTATCACTGTGTAGAACTTAAAGAACAGCGCGGTTCACCCTGTACAGCTAAAAACTATAAATATGACACTATGTATTATGTATGACCTAGTCACAAAAACTGTAAGTGAGCTACTATTTTTATGAAATGCAACTCAATGGATATATACTTACTTTTGCAGAGCTCTTGTTTACTGTATGATATTTACTGAAATACTGTCAAATAAAACCTTGACCATGGTGTAAAGTATTCAAGTAAAATCAAGTGTTTTGTGAGTGTTTTACCTTAAAGGCCGGTCTACATTGATTTCCTCCTGCACAATTAACCGTGTGATTATGCAACCAGTGGTTAAAGGGTCTTTATTTGAAAGGAGATGCTGAAGTGTATGCTGGGTAGCGGTACCATAATTACACATTTATTGAAAGAAACACAAAACAGACTAAGCGTAACTCCACAAGCTGAACTTTGGTCACTGTGCAAAACACTACCAGATTATCAGGTGCAGTCAAAGCCGCTTGAGGAACCAGTTTACATACTGTTTTATGTTTTGGGGTTTATGTAGGCCTATAAATGCAATTTATTCCTCTGATGGCAAAGCTGAATTTTCAGCAGCCATTACCTCATTACTATGGTGTTACATAATTCTTCAAAACATTCTAATATTAATGTCATTCTAATATGCAGATTTGGTGCTCAAGAAACATGTCTTACTATTATCAGTGTTGAAAACAGTTATGCTCTTAATATTTTTTGTGGAAACCATTTTTTCAGGGTTCTTTAAGGAATTGCTCATTTATATACAGAAATCTTATGTAACATTATAAATGTTTTGCTGTCACTTTTGATCAATTTAATGCGTTCTTGCTGAATAAAACTGTTTCTTTCTTTAAAAATAATAATAATAAGCAGAAAACAAACATCTCACTGAGCCCAAACGTTGGAATTATTGTGCTGAGGCATGTATTCTTCTTAAAAGCATGAGTAGGAGTATCTTAGGATAGGCATGCTTTAGATCTCACAACAGCATTCTGAATGGACTCTGGACTTTGCAAACTCAGAATTCTCTTTTCAAGTTCTAGATACAAAGAGAAGTCCTTACATTCTGCTACAGAACTTCCTCTTACAACCTAAAATTCTTTAGTCCCGCCGAGCTGTGCTAAAGAAGAAAATACAATTCCTCTAACAAATACTTCCTCTAGCAAAACACTGTATTTACAGAGACTATGGTGTTGGTTAGAGGGTTTTATACATGCCAGGTTCATATAACGATCCGAACCTGAAGTGTACCTCCATATACATGTATCTCGTCTCAAAGCATGATTCTGGACGCTTCATATCATTGCTCTCATTGCTTTTTTCGTAATTGCTGGTTAAATATTGCTGAAAAGGTTCCAGGTTCCATTTTGACAACAAGCCTCAGTTATTGGGTCAGCATCGTAGTGTATTAAGTATCTTTGTTCATGGAAAATAACAGTGGAAATGTTTACGTCTTTAAGGTATGTGGCTATATAGAAATTGGCTTTCAAAAATAAAACCATACCCTAATATTCACTGAATTATGAGCAGGTGTGACAACTAACCCCTGCCATTCTAATATGAGAAATAATTACTTGACATTATATAGACGTTAATAACTACGTGACATTTGGTACGGAGAATCCGTTAAATAGCCACCGAATACCACTTATGAGACGTGACATTTCAATTTATTATCTAAATTAAAAAAATATCCCATCATATGTCATTTGCCGCTAATGTAATAGATGCATGTTGAATTTGATTAGGCTGGAGATATTTTTGAAAAGATATTAATGCAATATAATCAGGAAAAGATTCAATGTTATCCTTATATTGCAATATACATTTTAAAAGATTACGTGAAATAATTCAATAAAAAGACACATAGCTATGCATGTAATTCTTGCTGTGGCCAGTAGGTGGCAGCACCTGACATGGTGGATGTTTTGTAATCACTCGTTCGTTCGCGCCAGTAGGGGGCAGTGTGACATGCACAGCTCAGAAGAAGAACGAGCCTCTGAAGTAAAGGCGCAAAATCCCGTGTGCTAGCATTACTGGCTAGCAGTTGTGAATTTACAGAAAACATGGACTGGTAAATATTACGTTTTATTCTAATGTTATTGTTGTATGACTGATATCTGATTACTTTATTTGATTCGTGGTTTTCTCTATTTTAAATGATCGTGAGAACGGCTCCACATGGCAGTTGACACTCAATATAATAGCACGAGAGAAAATAAAATATAACATTCATTATTTATCGATGAAAAATATGTAACTTTAGTGTTATTTTATGTAAATACAGCATTTCGGATCACAACACTTTATGTTATGCAGAAGACTAATAGTTTTTTAGCTGCGTTTTGACAGTTCATAGCCAGTTATTAGCTATATTGCTATTTGATTGTGTTGTACAGGGAACTTTGAGTTAGTTTAGGTTTGTTAAGTGTGTGT